GAGCTCTGGTAGTATAGTGCCTAAGGCACTTGACTGCTAACCAGAAGGCTGGCAGTTCAAACCCACCAGCCACTCCTCAGAAGGAAGACTGAGCAATCTACTTCCATAATGATACTATTTCAGAAACCCAAGGAGGGTTCACTATGAGTCAGGTCTGACTTGACAGCACATAACAACAACAATGCTCTTACCCCAGAAGTATTGCATGGCTGACTCTTACTCATTATTCAGATCTCAATTTACCTATCACCTCTTCAGAGAAGACTTCCTGGACACATAATAGATGCTCAATAAACGTTTGTTCTATAAATAGATTATCCATCTGAATGAGCAAATTAATTAATCACCAAAAACTGAAGACTGATAAAGACAACCTTCTTCTAGCAAGACATTAAAAGTGGGATTTTTCATCATGGTCATTGGATACATCTTCTTTTAGGGAAAAATATACTCCCAACAATATTTGGAAAATTATAAGGTGATAAAACTGAATCTTTAATTATTTGGCAACACTTTTCCAGAAATGGCACATTTAAATATGCAAAATGTGTAATCAACTGATGGAAAACTAAATTTATTTACTTCCCCTCTTTTTCAGCTATGAGGATGAAGGTCATACTGAGCAAACCGAACCAGCTCCCCCACCAGTCACTGAATGGAGTGTCCAGAAGGAAGGTTAGCCGCCATGCTGCCAGGAGGGAGGATGGTAGCCGAGAAGAGGCCACAATGTCTGCTCCCAGTATTGCCAGCATCACATCCCAAGGGCACATCTGCCCTCCAGGCACTCCCGCTCTGCAGTTGTACCTGCAGGAGACCGGGAAGTGGAAGGAGGCCCAAGAGCAGTTGCTGAGATACCAGCTTGCAGGACAAGATCAGCGACTGATGCTCTGCTCAGACTTGAGACAAGAGAGACAGCAAATGCAGGGTCAAAGTTGGCTGAGTAAGGACAATGGCAGCTTGGGACTTTCCCAAGAGAAGAAATCCTCCTGTAGTGCCACTGAGGCATTCTGCCTTCATTCAGTACATTCAAAGACTATTCAGGAACAGCTATGATCATGGAGTAGTATGGGAATTTGGGCTTCAAAGCAGAATGTTCAAATTATTTCTGGATAATCAGCAGGGGAGATGAGGTCTGACCTGTTATGATGACTAAGGAAGAATGTGGACTCTGGATTTCTTTTTCAACTTAAAAATTGAAGACAATCACATAAATGCTTGAAGAGTGAGACTATTTGATTTATCTTTTGTATCTATCACTATTCCTAGCCCAATGCCAGGCAAATACTGGGTTCTTAAATACTTCTTCTTTTTTTTTTTTTTTTACTTATCAAGTTATTTTCTGGATTTCGCCACCTTGAAAAT